GCCCGCCAGTGCACGGGAAGATAAATGTCCACCTCCCAGCCTGGATTTAAGCAGGGGAAGGCCAATAAAAGGTTGTTATTTCCGCTCGCCCGCTTTATCTAAAACAGCCAGACAAAACAAATGAAAAGGCTTTTGTAGAAAATCTTAATTGTGGCTGGACAGTTGTAAACTCATTAAGAGCCGAATTCCAGACAGTTTGCAGACCCGTCATTTATTACACACTCTTAATGCTGATTCTTTGAAGTTGCCTCTGTCTGCAACAACAGAGGGCGTCCCAGCATCCCCAAACACTGGCTCGGGGATCAATTAGGGGCTTTTTGTGTGTGTGCACACCAGAACGAGCTCCCTTTTGCTAATTAGAACTCATCAAATCTTACCCCGGGTTTCTTTCCTTTTTTTTTTCTTTTTCTTTTTTTTTTTTTTTTTTATTGTAAGGTGAAGCCGAAAGCATTTTTTTTCCTCCCGCAGTTCTGCACATCTGTAAACTTCTTACCGGCTCCCTAAGTTTTGTCTTCAGCCCTGCAGCGTTTTACACCCCATAAACGGTTACAGCAGTCATTTTCTTTTATTGCACTGTATGGCTCTGAATTTTCCTAACAACAGCTTCTGCCAAGACCATAACTGTGTTCCGTCTTATTTTGCACTAAATACATATATACATATATATATATAAGTGTACCTCTGTAAAACAAGGCGGCTTTCATTGTTACTCGACATGTTTGCAAGCAAGGGTCGGTGTGGCGCAGAAGTGTGCTGCGGCTCATGTTATGGAGGATATCTACTCTGGGCAGTAAGATGTCCGCCCAAAACAAGGGTGAATTTCAGCAAGCTCACAGACTTCGCTATTTTCTTTTGTTGCTGAGCTTGGGCTGGCTTGGGGCGGCGGGGGAGGGGTGGGTGCACTGGGTGTGCGTGTGGAAATCTTCCACTCCAAAGAAACCTTCTTTCTGTTTTTAAAAATAAATCCTATTTTGTCTTCTCTGCTCTAGCCCGCTGCCAGCCCAGCTCCTTCCTTCGGCTAAATCAGCGAGTAAAATTGACACCGTAAATTCTACCATAATTGTCAGTAAAATTTTATCTGTATCTATCTATACATACGTGTATAATCCGAGGCGCTAGTAAAATGCAAGGGGTTGTTTTTATTTGCCACGGGATATTTAAGAGGGAGACAAAAAATCCCAAACGTGAAGGCAAGGGAATGAAAAAAAGGGGTGACGTTTGAAATAACATATTTTGCATGGGTAATTATCTCTAGAAGGGAATTTAAAATGAACGCGCTGGTAAGGCGAGCCTTCTCACAAAGCTTGTTGAACCACACTTAGCGCTGGACATTTTTCTGGTACAGGCTAATTAACCATCTCAGCTTAAATGTCGCTGTCTGAGCTGATTTACATCATTGTCCGCACTAAAGAACGTCGGACATTTTGGTTTGGTCCTAAATCCCCCCGCCCCGCCAGGCGAATTTATTAAAACCGCGCTAACGCGGGACCGTGCCCCCGCCGCCGTCCGAAGGGGCTCCCCTCCTCGCACTGCTAAGCGCCAGCTTACCAAATTATAGCCGGGAGGGGGGAGCAATGCCTCCTCTCAGCGAAGCGATGGCGTTTAGGACCGGAATCAGCCCATTTAGGACGAAAATAAGCCCAAACTTTCATCACCTGGGGTCTGCGTTTATAGAACCGTGGGTTCGCCTTGGCTCAGAAATAACACTGCTACTCGCCTCGCCTCCGCAGCTGCCCTAGCCCTGCCACGTCTGCTGGTGAGATTCGGTGTGCCGTGGAAGAACCCCTCCTTAATAATCTTAAAACATCACAAAATATAAAAGAATCAATATATTTTATTTGGCAAAAAGTTAAATATCATTTCAACACAACGATTTGGTCAGTAGGCCATGAGGTAACTATTTCAAAATAGACAGTGTACGTTCTGCATCAACATAACTCCCCAGATTTATTCTTTTAAATCGATACAAATTTACAATAACCAAATGTAAGGTTTTATAGTGTATAATTTATTATCAATAAAATTAACCTTCATTATAACAACCATCAAATCATTCGATTAAAATTAAAACGTAAACCATAGGTAGTTACCCTTTTCACATATACGTATAGCTCCAAAATCTGATAACTGCTCACTGGTGCAAAAACAATATTTAAGCTAGTCTGTTTATTTACTTTTTTTTAATATATAGATTATATATACAACCGACAAAGACAGTACTATATATATATCAACTGTGCATACTAAAATGACTTGCTTCAATATTTTGTTTTTTTTTTTTTTGCGTTGGGATATATATAATATATATTTTACAATCAAAGGTTAACTGTCTAATTATACAGAAAAGACTTAATACACTACAGAGCTATACTCTATGCAATTTTTATAATAAACAACCTGAGTTCAAATTGAATTCTAGCTTACACCATTACATCCGGTACAGCACTCAAGCACATAAATTGAGTCACAAACATAATTACCACAATAAAACACAGTGTTCAAGTATTAGAGCAGAGATCTCTCTGCCGCGCAAAGAGCGAATAAAATTAACTACGTAGACTAAAACTATACAGTCCGTAAATAGTTGTGCATTATGAAAAGGTAGTTTTTTTCTTTATTCTTTTTTTCTTTCTTTTTTCTTTCCGTAAGTGAAGAAACAGGTAGATTTATACAAGCCAGCTAAACAGCCTTTTCGTGCTAATGCCCCCTTTTTCTTTCCTATTAGAAAATTAAAAGTCTTACTGTACCTCTCCTGGCAAACTGGCCTCTGTGACAATCAAGGTACAATCATAATCAGAATTTGCCATGGGAAAAAAATTAGGCCTGGACCCAGACGCATTGCATGGCAGGGCTCGAGGGGAGGATTTTTGTTTTGTTTTGTTTTGTTTTTAACTTTTTCCTTTTTTTTCTTTTTTCTTTTTCTTTTTTTTTTTTTACTTTATGCATTTTCAATTTAACCCGCCTGCCGCCATCATTCGTCCTTCGCTCGATCTTTGTTGATTTTCTTCATTTTCATCCTCCTGTTCTGAAACCAGATTTTCACTTGTCTCTCAGTTAAATTGAGGAGTCTGGCCACCTCGTATCTACGGTCCCTAGTGAGATACATATTGAACAGAAACTCCTTCTCCAGTTCCAGCGTCTGATGCTTGGTGTAAGGGCATCGCTTTTTCCTGGTGGACCTCGCGTGGAGCCAGTTTGCAGCTGGATTATCTACAACGAAAACAACAGGAGAAGTTCAGGCTGGG